GTAGATTTAAAAAATAGAAGCAAATTTCAAAAGCTATTTGAAAACCACATTTCTAGAAGCTATGAACACTCTTACACAAACCAAATAGGAAACCAATTTTTCCAAAATGCTGCAAATGAAAGAGATGAGAGATTAAAACTTTGATGTGCAAAGCTATGGTCGGAGTTTCTAAAAAATAAGTAGCTTTCAAAATGAAATCTTGAAAACTCATTTCCATGCCATGAATACTCTCAGATAAATCAAAGAGAAAACCAAGTTTCCAAAATGGTGCAATGAAAGTTATGAAAGATAAAAACTTCATATCACTAAACAAAAATTTGAGAAATTAACTTTCAATGAAAGCCCCAAAATGAATTCAAGAACCCATGAACGATCTTCTCCTAAAAAGAAAAAACTAATTTATGCACAATTTCTCACTAGAACTCTCTCTCTATATATATATATTTTTTTTTGGGCGGTCAAAATTCACCCAATCGGCCAAGGGGGAATTCCTAGTGATCGAGAATTCCTAGTGGCGCAATTCCCAGTGGCCGAGAATTCCTAGCGGCGGGATTCCTAGCGGCCGAGAATTCCTGGCGGCCGAAGAATTCCTAGCGGCCAAAGAATTCCTAGCGGCCGAGGTGCTTTCTCAAAAAGATGGTCGAGGTGTTTTCTTTAAAGGCCATGGTGCCTTCTCAAAAATGCGGCCGATGTGTTTTCTTCAAAGGCTTTGGTGCCTTCTTAAAAATATGGTTGGGTGCTTCCCCTTGCAAAAGTGGTCGGGCGTATCCTTGAAAAAGTGATCGGGCGTGTCCTTACAAAATTGGATGAACGCTTCCTTTTGCAAAAGTGGCCGGGCACTTCTCAAAAAGTTAGGTTAGGCAATCCTTAAATGCCTTGGTCAGCACTCCTTTTGCAAAAAGCTGGGCCGTGGTGGATTTTCTCCTTGCACACCCAAGCGCCCTCCTCGCAACACTTGGGCAAGCAAAGTTGGGCAGAGGGAGTTGAAGTTCGGCGGGAGCTATGTCCGCCGAGTTCCCAATATTAGAATATTTGAGAACTCAAAGATAGTCTAATGTAGGGCCAAGCCCAACATCCAAATATCTGGAGTTCCCATACCATCCACCTTGGCTGATGGTCAGCTCTAGAATTCTAAAAACTCAAAGGGCATGAGGTTCCCCAGATGTCAATTTGAAATCTTGGAGGTCCAAGCCCAAGCCACAGATTTGTGCCCAAGATTTCCGAAGGTCAATGTGCACGTAACGAAGGCCTCACAAGGAAAGAAATCAAGAGGTTGATGATGATTCAGAATTTTTCAAAACGAGAGAAAATCAAGCAACCATAATATCTCAACCGACTTGATCCACAGATTTAGGGGGCCTTGAAAGGAAAGAATTTTAAAAGAGTTGACATTTGGACATTCAATGGTCATCCCATGGGTCAACTGACGCCCTATATAAACTTCACCAAACGAAGGCAGAAGACACACATCACCATACACAGAAACCTATTTTTCGTTTCGCACTTTTCTTTTCTTAGACTTAGGATTTTACTTTCAAGCACCTAGTGTGGCAATTTCTTCCTTTTCTTAGTATAAGTTTAAATTCTTGCAATTTACATTACCTTGTCATTTAATTTCAAGTTTATTTCAATCACTTTCTTTCATTGTTATTCAATTTTCATTAAGTTTAAATTCAAGTTTAATTTAGTTTACTGTTCTTATTGTTCTTATTTCGTTCTTGTTTATTTATCACTTTAATCTATTTTATCATACTTTAATTCTCATCTTTATGTTATTTATTTTATACGCTTTACTTTACGCATTTATCTTGAAATTATATTTAATTTTAAGCACCTTTACTTTACGCACCTGTACTTCGTTTCATTACGTTTCACCTTCAATCTTCATCTCCACCCACTCCACATCATTTGGTTGCTCACATAAGCCTTGACCCCAAGGTAGTGAAAGAACCTAGGCAGTGAGGAGGTTTCTTACTCGGTCGAACAATCGTTTGATGAAAGTTAGATCTCGGACACAACATACACTCACATTCCATCCAAGCCAAATTCGTGGTTTGGTGGTGGCACGCCCCGCACTCAAAAAAGAAGAAGGACCAAAAGTTCCTTCCGTCGACCCCCCTCGGCCGAAAAGAGGGAAACACTATAATGTAGTGAGTTGGTGAATCTAGACCAGCCCCAGCCTTTTTGGCAGGTCAAAAGGACACTTGGTAGCCAATGATTAGACTTATAATAACCAAAATCACGTGCCTTGATTAAAAATTTCGTGTTGGAAATATTTGGCCTATATGACTAGTCATCTAGACAAGTATTGTGATGCAGATGTTGATTTTCCTAATGATGCCTATTGTAAATGAATGCACAAATTATCTTGGTTTTGTAGCCTCATAAGTCAAAAGATAAACTAAGAGGAATTACACACATGACAACTAATGATGCATACAGGAGAACACTATAATGCATACATAAATATATTATCTTCACTGAGCTCAATTTAATTGCATTGGCCAATTATGAAGTTGATCTCAGCCACAGTAGTCAATTTTACACTAACTTGAACTAGCCTAAATTCTTTAAACTAAATCATACGTATGAAATTACATGTTTGTCATAGAAAGCTAAAAACATTAGCTAAACAAAACCTAACGAATTTATTATTATAACATGAGCTTTGCATAAATTTCAATTTTATTTATCCAATATTCAAACATGGCATCATGAGCTAGTATTGTAGGGTAACATAATAAATTATAGAAGCGCAATTAGACTCCAAATCAATGAGAATGGAGTGTCGACACATTATTAGAGTAACATAATATTCTCTAAATTGGTTTGCTTATATAATAAGAATCTGCCCATTAGTTCTGCGTTGCACCTATAAGCACACTAACTAGTGTTATGGATGGGAATCGTATTAATTGTTCTGTTTTATCTTTAGGTTTGTGACAAACTTACTAAATACCTAACTACCACATAAAACAAAGGTACTATCCCCCCTCTCTAATGAAGATGTCACTATCCAATTATATGATAATTTTTATATCAGAGGACTTTTTGTATAAAACATCATATTAATTATTATAACCAATACAACTTATCAATTTAATTATGGTTGTAGGGATGGCCACTATAGGGTGGGATAACCTAATTAGCGAACAAGGTTCCAATTTATCAAACACTAATAGGGTGGGACACTTGTGATTTTACAACTGATTAACAAGCTATGATTACAATATGTTATTATATATATATATATAAGTCATTGGAGATTGAAACAACTTCAAATAGATAAATAACTAAACCAAGAGTTGCTAATCAAGTAATTGTCCTTAGATAATTAACTTGTGTTAGTTTTGTTGCCCTCTCAAGTTAGTGATTTGGACGTCTTGTTGATATATAGTTGTATCAATGAAAGTTATCTAATGAAGTTGTTATTTGATTAAAAAAAGAGAAGGTAATTGTCCTTAAAAAGAGTAAACTCAAAGGTATGTGGCATCGTATGCACCCGTTAGAACACAGACTAATTATCAACACAAAACCTAATTAATGTGTTGACACTACAAAAAAAAAAGTGGCAACAGTTATCATTCTTTGGTGACATTTGGTGACTATTGTGGGGTTTACTAAAGGCTGTAGTCACCAAAAAAAAGTAGAATATGTGACGAAAAGCCTTTTTAGTCACCAAGAAAGTAAAAAAAAAAGACTAATATCTTTTATCACGGCCATAAATGTAATCAAATAATGGTAATGCCACTTTTTTTTACACTAATGTGATTGACCAAACTAATTGACTAATCACCTACTCCAGCCTCCATTTAGGCAGTATAATATTAATGCTGATTATATTGACATTAAATATATATTTCATTATGTAATTGAAAGGTGGGATGTTGTGGCTGTCAGTCATTGCAAATGGAAAATTAAATGTCACATGTCACATGTTGAAAACAAGGCATGCACTTCCGTTACATCATCATGCTCTAACTCCGAATGACTTTAGTGCATGGCTGTCGTATCGTACACTAAAACAGGCTTTATGATCTATGCATGCCACATTTGCTGAATATAGTCGCATTCCAATGATCTCAGCCACCAGTTCTTCTTTAGAGCACTTCTACCGGTTTGCCTTTTGTCATGGTAAGGGGGGCTAGGGCAGCTACTATTCATATGAATAGTAGCTGCTCTTGCAAAAGGTTATGGTGTTTCCACTCATTATCATGGCAACAACTATTCACATGAGATATGATGAGAGAAATTTGTATAGAGTTTGGTGTAAGAAGTGAAAACTATGACTAAGTATTTATTTTTTAAAAATATGAAATTTTTTGTATTTTTTTTTAAAAACTTTTGTTGTTGACATCAGCAAACTCGGGCTTGATCTCGAGCTCATCTTGCCTGAGGGCTGGCCTGGTTTCGTGGGCCCCACCTCTTACCCGGGCCAGCCCTTATTGCTGGAAACGGTTTTTTGGGCCTACACCACACCACCCCGCCCCCCCAACCCTTGTTGCTGGAACTTGCTCTTACTCGATTGTTCAAACACTGTTTTCTTAGTTCTTGTTTCATAGTTTTTGAAAGATACTAAAAATATATACAAATTTGGGATCAACAAATATATAACTGAAAATATAGTATAATGTTTTTTGTGCTAAGTAGTAATTTGATATATACTGTCCATCATAATCGCATATTAAAACATAATTCTATGTGATCGATTTTAATTATTTATACAATAACATAACATGTCAGACGAAGTAAAAGAGAAAACATGTCCACTGAAAATAACTTTGAGAGCTTTTGAGATTATACATTTATATGTAGATTTCTTACAACATCACATGTAAAGTTTCAAGAGGACTGGCTTGTCAGCAACATCTGAGTCCCTTTTCCTTTTCTGGCTGAGATTTTTCGGTATCTCTCTCTTTCTTTTTCCTTTTTGGTTTCAGAAAAAAAAAAATAAAAATTCACAGATTTTCTCGTAGAGAGGGGCGTACATAATTGATAGACTAAGTCATTATGCAGGTGCTATTGTATGTCTGAGTGCGATGCTTTTTATCATATGCCCTATGAAGGACAAGCAAGCATTCAGCTTGGTGGTGGAATTTAGGCTTAATAAGGTTCCAAACGACATGAAAACTTGAGTGCAAACTCACTCGAAGGACCAATGGCAAACCCTTCCCTGACTCAAGCATGTCCTCCATGCTTCTTCCGGCACCATACATTGGCTTATTCCTTGTTCCAACATATAACTTGAATTTTGATGACCCACTCTCAGCAGCATATAGCTTTGGTCCCTGCAATATTTAATCAATGACTATGGACTTGAGTAAATTGTAGCTGCAATCCTTCAACTGTGCTCCAGCTTTTAATTGTGTACCACTTTGGTTCTTCTCTTAAAATTAATCTGTTTGCTTCTCTGTCAAATTAAAGATAAAAATGTCCACTCACGTAACCGCTCACCTTTCATTTCTTCTCCTATTTCATCTCAAGTTCAAGTTTCCATGCTCTTTTTCATCCTGAATTGAAGTTGCAACTTCAATTTTTGATGAAATATAAGAAGAAAAGCAAAGGGTATACGGTGTGAGTAGACATTTTGCCCTAAAAAAGACAGAAAAACTAATAAACATTGACAGAAGAACCAAAGTGACACACCATTATTAAATGTTTGAGAACTATACAATTTAAAAATCAAGTAATAATTCAAGGACTATAGCTAATTTACTATTAGCACATAAAAATAAAGGGAATTCAGCTAAAACTTTGGCACAAAATTAAGAAGTGACTTCATCCATATTGATCCTTACATGTGATAAAGCAACAGGTAGGCGGCCGAAGCGCATTTGGATTGTTGGAGGATGAATGTGAAGGCCAAAGAGCTTCGATTTGTTGTCTATTATTAGATTCATGGAACAATTGCAGGTGAGGATCTTAGTTGTGACACCCGAGCCATCCACACCTTCCCCTAGTCCAAATGCGCCAATTCCTGCCATCTGCACGCAGTTTTGAACATCATATATCACTCAATAGTAGAGTAGGAACTACCTAAAAACTATAGTTAGAAACATTATTGTGTAAACTTTATACTTTGTTGGTTGGTTTTTTTTTTTGTGGGGGCTTTGGTCCTTGCGGCTTAGGCATTACAAAATATTCACCTTCCACTAATATTACTAGGTGGCATAACAATGTTGAAGGGAGAAGTTTGGGCCAACTAGAAGCTCAGTCTGTGGGCCATTTCAGATGATTTGAGTTTATATTCGTCTTGTGCTTTGAGTCACTTGACGCATGAACTTTAAGTTGCTTCTTCTTTATTGGGTTAACACATCTCAACTCAATCCCAAGGTCAAGCATATATGAAGCTCCTATGGCCTGTTTCCAATACTTTACAGGCCTTTTTCTTTTTTTTCAATCCAACCAATGATACAACTTTTCAGTTATCAAACACAAGGGTATTGATTTACAAAATAACCCTAAATTTATTTATGAGATTTAAACTTATAACCTCTTCTAATAAACTAACTAATTACTAGTCTAATAGTATTCCTCTTTCTAATGTTGAAACATATACCGAATTCGAATATCTCATTCCCTTGTTGATTAAACAAATTACAACTCTTACAATAAAATGGAGATAAATTCCAACCAACTCAAATGGTCATTGCATAATCCCAAAAAAGAAAATCATATTTGTTAGAATATTATTGTGGTCGTTTATCATACTACTTTAATCCATTATTAAATTCTTTTGGGCCACACCTCACTCATCGTATGTCACATGCTACTAGACATAGTCTTTTGTAATAACAAAATAAGAGTGCTAGAATATATATGTTTAATGCTTCCTAAATTCTAATTTCTAGGGAAAAAAAATTTATGATGGTTGAGGCTCTCGTCTGAGAGTGATTTTGGATAGGCAAATAATCACTTTTATGGAGAATTATTTCTCTAAATAATCATTTTAAGTGATTTTATAGACATGGGAGGTGCTTCTTTCCAAAATCACTTAAAATCACTTATTTTCTAGAGAAGCACGTAGGAGGTACTTCTTCCTAGAAATGATTCTGGTCTATCCATAATCACTCCCAAACGAGACTTTATAAGCTTCAAATGCAACATACAAAATTTGAAAAATAAAACAGAGTACTTTTGGAGAGATGGATCAATATTTGAACGTACCTTAATTGACACTTTGGGTGGAGGGGGCTTTGTAGCAATGTAAAACACAAGCAATGCAACGCACAAGCTCAACATAGCCCTCCAACTTATTTGCATACAAATCCATACACACGAATCTGAATTACGATATGAACAATACGTCTTCCACCACCCTGCTGTTTTTCTCACCCCATAGTAATATTCATCATCATCATCATCTTCATCACCACCATCATCGCCTTTGCCACCACCGTCCACAATAATCAAACGGTTTACTCCATTTTCGGTGCCCGTTCCGTTGCTACGTGCGTCGTATGAGATCTTCTTCTGGTGCAAGAATGAGTGGCTGGATCCGCGGGAGGAGGAGTAGTGTGAGAGAGTGAAGCGGGAGGCTTCTTCGTGAAGGGTCGGGTTTGTTGGTTCAGGTCGGGTTGGGGATTGGAATTCAGATTCGGGGATGGTGTTCCGGATATCAGCACTGTTGGCATGGGAGATGGTTGATGGGCTTTGCACGTAATATGCAAAAGGGTATGAATGAAATAGAGCTTCTTGGTCTTGATCATGCTCCATTTGAGAGAGAGAGAGAGAGAGAGAGAGAGAGAGAGAGAATGAGTGAGTGAGAGAATTGTAACTCTGACATGGGAAAGGGGTTTTTGGAGGGGTTTTAAACTGGATAAAGAGAAGTTGCTTTTGTTTTCTGTTGTGTTGTGGGGTTGGCTTGGCTATAGTTGGCTTTAGGTTGTGATGATATGAGGCTATGAGCCAAAGAATGCTTCGCTTAGTAGGAAAGATTGAAACCATTGATCACAAAGAATAATCATACAAGTTTTATTACAAACTTGTATAAAGTTATATCAAATAATTCACATTTTATTTTCTAGCTATTGAACCTTGCTTTCCTATACAGTTTGTCACACATAATTACACTACTTAACTATTTGAATGATTTGTAGTGGGTCTAGTTCAGTGAAAAAAAGCCTTGCAAGCATGTGGTCTCTAACCCCCATGACACCTTAGTAGTGTGTGAATGAAAAAACACCCCTCACCCTTCCTAACTTTGGCAAAAAAAAGAAAAAAAAAAACTATTTGAATGATTTATTTCCACATATAAGTTTGACAATATCTCTTAATCTCTTGTACCAAAATTCTAAGAATGTAAAAATATATAATAATAAAAACTTGACAAAATAAAACACGATATATAAGTGAGGGTTTCCACCACTAATAATACTGAGACTTTTGTGATATAACTCTCACATGAGGGACTATGAATGTGGTTAAATGAGGTCAAAATAGGTGTTGGGCCAATTATAAGTAGGGTATCTATCCGTCTCTTTGAAATCTTAACATGGTATCACATCAAGTTGATTAATTGTGTCCAAATTATTGGGTGTCTACCCAGTACATGATATTCACGTGCTTGACTTGAATGAATGATGTGGAATTGGTTGTACATGTGTGCCACTAATGATCGAATGTAAAAATATCAAATCCGAAACTTAACAAAACAAAATATGATATATAAGTCTCAAGAACTTCGCTCCACCCCCGCCCCGCCCCCCCAATGGACATGGTGGCCTCCTTCCCCGCCCCTCTCCGGCCATCCCCTGTCTCCCCTCCTCTCCTTCCCTCTCCTCCATGTCCTCCCTTCTCTTTTGGGGTTGTTTACTAGTTTTTTTGTTGGATTTTTCGTTTGGTTGCACAGGTAATTTCTTTGGCGGCTCTTGTGGTTTTGTTGTCCTTGGAATCTTTGGTGACAATAAACTAGCAATGCATTGGTTACAAATGAGGTGGTTCAGCGGTGTTTACTCACTTGGGTGTGTGTGTTTACAGTTTCTTTAGGTTGTAATAATTGCTTCAACCCTTTATAAGTTCGGTGTTTGTTTGTAGTCTACTCTCTACATATAGTATCTATTTGAGAGAGTTTAAACGTTGTAGTTGTGTTGATAATTTTAGGCACTACAATTTATATCTGACTTGTTTAAACTGATGGCTTTTATGCCGAAATTTCTCTAGCCTTATATGGCTAATAACACCCCAACATTTTTTATAATGGGCTATGCAAGTGCGCCACCCACTAAAGTGTTTTAGAATGTAAAATATAACCTTCTAATGGATTTTTTTTTTTTTTTTTTTTTTTTTTTTTTTTTTCAATGCCCTAGGTAAGAAAATCTGCTGGATGATGAAAAGCCACATAATTATTAGGTCTGAGCCACGCTAATAAATCTGCCATGATGCTCAGTGGAGCCAAATTCCATACACTTCGAAATTTAATCCGAGAATTACGGGAGAGGGTCTCTTGATCTAGTCCTTAGTATTTGCTTTACACCGAATTGTCTCTCCTTTTACGTCTCAGGAATTATAGCAAAGTAAGCACGCTTTAGCATTTCCTGTATATCCTTTCCACTAAAAGGCCGACAATAAATAAATATTATGCTAATGTTAAAGGCAGCACCCAGTGCTACTTCACTCCCTTCTAGATATATAAATATATATATATATATATATATCAAAATCTAAGAGCTGATTATGAAATACCTTACAACCTGTTTGATAACTATTTTATTTTTACTTTTTTTTTAAGAAAAAGAAAACACTGAAAACTGAAAATTTATTTGGTAACAAATTTTGTTTTTTATTTTAGAAAAGTTGAAAACTAGTTTTCAAAGTTGCCTTTATTTTTTTAAACATCTTGAGAGTGTTTTCCGTTTTCATTTTTCTTTGTGTTGTGCGAAAACACTCCAAGATCTTGTCGTTGATCGACTACGCAACTATCACACACAAGCTATGCAAAGATAAAGCACACACAAACTAAAAAGTAAACACGCATACAAAGGACTCAATAATTTATAGAGGTTCAGCGTTGTGCCTACGTCCTCTTAGTGATCCCCAAGAAATTCATTAGTATGAAAAAACCATTTTGTTATAATGAAGAACCCCATTTGATCTCTCAAAAACCCTAGCTCTCTTTTCTCTCACCCTTGGCTCAAACCCAATTTGACGCCTTAGCTTTCTCACGTTATAATAACCTAGTGCTAAAGTGCCTATTTATATGTCATAGGGCTTTACTACAATTATACGAGGAATAAGAAACTTAAAGGACCCCAAAACTAGGAGAAAATCTGTCCAGATTCTCCACAGATACACACTAGATTTACACCTCCTACTGTAGGCCGCTTGTGCCACTCGAGCGCCTGCGTCCGCTCGAGTTTGAGTTCTGCCACTCGAGCACTTGGTCTAGGCGAGAAGTACCACTCTTCCGCTCGAGCACCTGTAGTTTCCGCTTGAGCGTTAGAGCCCAGTCAAAACGACTACAGCTCTTTTGACCATCTGTTTCCTTCACTCCTTCCACATCTTTAGGTGAGCCAACATCGACACTTTGCCCTCCCTTCTCATTCACAAATTTTACATCATCACACATACATTGCACTCCAGTTACCAAGACTAGGTATTTGGGACCTCCCAACTTGGACCCAACCACTCAACTCTCTTGTTCGACCATGGACCCAGTCCTAGTGTCAGAACCTTTAGATCCAAAATTCACTTAAAATTCATTTGAAATCCACAAAATTCACCAAAAATATACTACAAACTCTTTATAACATGCATTTTCATTCTATGACCTCAAATTCATAATTTGACCGACCTCAAATTCATAATTTGACCCCCTAAAAAATTTCATTTCCAAGTTCCACATAAAACTGAAATTAGTTATCAAACAACTTTTAAACAGTTTTTAGTTTTCAGTTTTTTTAAAAAAACTAAAATTGGTTACCAAACAAGATTCATGTTTTCATTCTTTTAAAAATGAAAACATAAAATTAGAAACTGAAAATTGAAAACCGAAATAGTTATCAAACATGCCCTTAATTAATTTTATGCTAATGTGCCCCATTAGTTATATAACCACTAAAGTGAGATTACTAGAAGAAAATGTCTATAGGCGTCTAACTAATCTAATTATCATTTATCTTTTTGTTTAGTGGTATTTCTCTTCTCCATATGCTATAAGAGATCTTAACTTTCTTACTTCTCCCTGCCCATCAAGAAAAGAAAAGCAAAAAAGAACCAATTTATACATTTGAAGGTGGTTAATTAATGCATTGAAGTTTAAAATCCAAGTTTTATGTATTCTGAGTTCAAACAAATTTTAATATTATCTGATGCAAAATATGATCCTCTACTGATTTCCTTTTTTTATCACTTAAATTGTTCACATACATGAGGATTTTCAAATTAAAAAATTAATTGAAAAGGAGAGAGAGAGAGAGAGAGAGAGAGAGAGAGAGAGAGAGAGAGAGAGAGAGAGAGAGAGAGCACAATAAATACAAGTTAAATTGGATAGACATATTGCTTTCTTTTAAAGATAGACGAGATAGATTGAGATAGAAGGTTGGCCATGTATGGTAGTGATGATTATAGAATTAAAGTGAGGTGACATGTATTAATCCAATATGAGAATAGCTTTTGCTTTTGCAGACCAAGACATTATGAACCATCATCATCATCATTTGCTCAGAAACCAGATCTCACATATATACAAATATAATTACAACCTCATCCATCGTACCCATTATAAGCAATAAAGATGAAAAGCTTTTACATCCATCATCCATGAAATGCAGGTAATACATCAATCTATCTGCTGTCATGCTAGCTTGCAGATTGGACAAGACGGAAAAAATTGGTCAACAGACTAGCTTCAATGTGATATAATTCAAAACATATATAAGCGGCCGAAGAGATTTGCATCATTGGAGGATGAATGTGACGGCCAAATATATCTTAGAATTAATCGTTCTCTATTATAGATTTATTGAACAATTGGGGTGGTGAGGATCTTAATTGTAACACCCGAGCCATGAAGAGCCATGGTTTCTGCCATATATTTATGCAATTCTATGATCTCTGTCTTGCCTTTCGTTTGCACTAAAATTCAAAGTTTTTAGGGTTTTACCTTGTCTAGCATAGCATCCACTCGAAATCAATTGATAATGGGTAGAGAGACCTAAGATCATTTACATCACTAAGTCCAGGTAATTAGCTGAATACAACCTAATATTTAAATCAATATGTAAAATTAACTAAATACACCCTATTTAACTACTAAAAATACTCTGGTACACCCTAATACACTATTACACAACACCCTAATACCAATCCTAAACTAGATTTCTCTTTTTACATGAATTGATGTCCTCTCTTCATATTTTAGGTTTGCATCAAAATCTTTAATTTCATAAGCTGTTGTGGGAGTAGATTTGCTAACTCCTTCAATTCAAAGCTTGATTCTTGTAAATCCTTTTGATTTTCTTTATTTATTTCTTATTTTCGGATGAACATATTGCCCTGCAAATATGTTCTATTATCTTATGAAAGTTTTATGGGTTCTTTTCCTTTTTTTGGGGTAAAATTAATTCAGAGAAGCCTTCATTGACCAGACTCTGAATAGATTTATTTCACCAAATAATTCAACAACACAATGTATAGTTGAACACTTTGAAAAGTGAAATTCATCTAATTTGCAAAACGCAGCTTTAAGTGTTAATATTTACCACACACTACAGTCTACTTCGAAATGTGGGGCACAATAACAGTAAGAATGATGATGTTCACACAACTCAGAGATGAATAATACCCACACAAAAACAAAAACAAAAACAAAAGTAACATGGAACGAGAAGAGAAAATATTAATTAATATGAAAATGAAAGCCGTCTATTCTAGTCATGGAAGTTTATCTGAGATGACACCAAATCATTGTGAAATCCGCTCGGCGTTTATCTTGCTCGTTGCGTTGTTCACCGTGGACACAAAGCAATGCGAAAACTTCTCTATATTTGATTAGGATTAAATACGGTGAGTAGGGTTTATTTATTAAAATTATATTTGTTTCACAATTCAATATATCTTTTTTAGTCATTTTATATTAGGATAAATTAGTAATTCAGTAAATAGTTTGGTAATATGGTATACTCAGTTAATTTTAGGATTCGTTTAGCAACACTCTTTCCATATTGAGAACATTATGATTTATTTATTTTTTTTCAGAGTTATGAACATCAAATTATTGATTATATTTATCATTCGTGGGAAACTTGGAACCACAGGTAGTGGGCTTGAGTCTCATGATTCAGGCGACAAGTTAATCACCTCATGGGCTTAAACTTAAGGTCTAGCAAACAGTTTCCTTATTGGGCTTATATTCCAATAATAAGCAATATCAGTGTTAAAGTAGCACTGGGAGATATGCATGTTAGGAACAGTTTCTATAGAAAATATTTGTGCTCAAAGCGCTTCGAGGGGTACTCTATGGCCCTGTTTGGGATTACTTTTTTTGTCAAAAACCTGCTTCACTTCAAAATTAAGTAGTTTAAGGTATTTTAAAATATTCCAATTATTTTAAAAGCAGTGGCCTTTTGACAACAGCTTTTAAAAGCAGGCTATGGGTTACTTTTCAAAGCTGCTTTCAAAAGAAGCAGAAATGAACATTTAATAAAAAAATTTAGTTCCCAAAATACCATCATTCATTTTCAAAAATAACACCACCTCCACTTCCACATCCAACTCCACCACTTACACCACCACATTCACTACCTCCACAACCACTGCCATCGCCACAACCACCGCCACCACCACTACCACCAACTCCACCTTCACCTCCACCACAACCACCACCACCACCACCACCTCCTCCAAAACCTCTACATCCACCACCACCTCCACAACCAACACCACCACCACCACCACCATGCTGCCACCTCCACCACCATGTTGTCACTACCACCACCTCCACAAGCGCCATCCTTACCACCACTACCACAACCACCAACTCCACCTTCATCACCACCACCACCTCCACTCCATCACTACCACTACTACCACATGATTAGTACATAACATTTTTAACATTATGTCTATTTTAGTCATTATTCACAGTTACAACAATTTTATATTAAAACTTACCAAACAGTTTTGACACTGCTTTTTGTACTAACAATACTTTAAAAATATTGTTTACCAAACAAGGAGCTGCTTTACTTTACAGCTAATTATTTTCAAAGCACAGCAGAATCAACTTTTTTTAAAAGTGACAGCAATCCCAAATTGGGCCTATCTATGGTAAGGTTCTTGACCCTGCTTTTGCGGTTGAGTGGGTAAGGCTACTTAGTTAGTCCGATAACCAAGCCCGTATGTATAGAGAAACTCGCTTAATCTCTTACGACATAGCCTAATTTTTTGGTACTTATTACATATTATTTTCATCAATAATACTACTGCTCTTTTCTCAACTCAAATAAAATAAAATAAAATAAAAGGAAAGAAGGTAGCACTGGAAGATATGCATATTAGGAATAGCATCTATAGAAAATATTTCTGGTCAAAACGCTTTTATTAAAACTGCTTTTGTTAGAAGCGCATTGAAATTTTTAAAAATCCAAGTGCTTCCTGAATACTTCTCCAAAAAGCAATTAGGTCTCTCTACTGGGAGGAGGAAGGCATTTCAATTTTAGGGTTTCTATGAAGAACTTATTACCCTTGGTGAAAGGGAATGGAGAATGAATAGGGAGTTCTATTGTCCTTTAATTAAAAACGGCATCGTTTTAGTCTAGAGCAATGCTGCCATTTGCTGAATTTTTTTTTCTGGAATTGTTCCAAATGATTTTTTTTTTAAAAGAAAATTTATCAATTAGTTTAAATTAGGCGGGGTGGTTTCGAATTTATTTTATCTTGATCATTGTGACAGGTTTAAATAAATGGTACGCATAGTAATAAAGAAAAAGTGCTGATAACGAACAAGTAGTCGCTTTGGCCGAGTGGTTAAGGCGTGTGCCTGCTAAGTACATGGGGTTTCCCCGCGAGAGTTCGAATCTCTCAGGCGACGTTCTCACCTTTTTTTTTTTTTTTTTTTTTTTTTTTTTTTTTTTTTTTAAATTAAAAAAAAAAAAAAAAAAAAACTAAATTTTTTCTTTTTTTTGACAAAACTTACTTACTTCATTTAAATTATATGATTTGACTGCTGACTCGGGAAACACATTGCGTGTGGCCTAATTGTTTTGAAGTTAATATTGAGATTGGCTAGATAATTGCAGCTGAAGTTTGGGGGATTTACTGACCGGATGACTTACTCTCCACCTATTTTTACTGCCTTCACTACTTGGACTCTTCTCTGAGTCCATGACGAGCTGGGTAGCAGAGTGTTTCATTTGTATGTTTTTCGTGACTTCAAGTATATTATAAATGAAAAGTTTTCAAGGTTGGGTTTGAAACCATCCCCAAAGTTCGGGGGATTTTATGTAGTGGATCGAAAATATAATTAAATGCGGAGAAATTAATGAAATATAAAACTCAATTAAAATTTATTTTCAATAAATACTTATTTAAACAATAACATTTTAATTTGTTTAATCTTAACCATTCATTATACTTTAATCTAACAATCCAAAAGTTGAGTAATAACTTGTGTCATAAAATATAAAGAGAGTTTTAGTTGAGGAATCCTTCAAATAAGCTTATTTAAGGGACATTCTTGTAGGCCTCACTACGCATTATATTACAATAATCTAATTTTTAGATTTTGACTCAAAGATCATCTCTGAAAAAAAAAAAAAAAAAAAAAAAAAAAAAAAAAAAAAAAAAATATTTACTTAAAAAACATAATAAAAAACACATTTAATCAATCAGCATTGGTTGTTATTATAGTCTTTACTTTGAAGCATCGTGTTCGTATATTTTGTTGGTCTCGATTAGATGCCTTAATGATTTTTAATTTGCATGATTTTTTTTTGTAAGGATGATTTATGAAGATTTGAAAAATAGCGGTTTGGATTGTTGAAAAAATAAAATTTGTACCCTAAAGGGTGTCCCTCAAATAAAAAAAATTTGAGAGATCCCTCAATAGAAGGGGACTATATATATATATATATATACATATCAATAATCTAAACCATCTATTTTTTAGGCATTCATTCAAACAATATTGCTCTCTTGAGGACAATATTTTGAGGACTAGCAAGGTCCAAACTTGTTATATCCGTCAGATTTAATCTGACGGCTAGTGGTGTTAGCCTCTTTAAAATACCCATTTTCTCCATCCAAACGGAAGGTAAGTGTGAACTTATATGAAATAAATATGCATGAGAGATATCATCAAAAGAAAAATATGAGAGAGAGAGAGAGAGAGAGAGAGAGAGAGGAGAGAGAGAGAGAGAGAGAGAGAGAGAGAGAGCATTGAATATATTGAATCTACTTTGCTCCTTATTAACGTCTGTTTACATCTTCACATATTCCACTAACAACTTCCACCACATTTTTATTCTTTTGTGTACAAAACAATTAACAAATTACAAATATTCCTCATGTCTTATTCTATTTTCTACATCACTATTGACACTTCTGATCTCTAAACGAACGATAAGACATATTATTCCATGCATGTACCAAAAAGAGGGTAGTTTGAATTTGGTAAAGAAGGAAATGGTGTGTGCCAAAATTTGCTTTGCAAAATGGCTTGAACTAAGAGAGAAAGGAGGATATATCTTGCATGAAACCCTCAAAATCCCATTCTCCCATTCTCAAGTTTTCTCCATGCCCATTATTTCCAAACCCAAGCATGTCCTCATCTACTTTAAACCCGATCATTTCCGCCGTGTTATTGAAGCAATTATTATGGAAGTGGTTGTTAATAGTCTTGCTTATATTCTCAGCTACTTGACCATTCATATTACTCTCCACGCTTCTACTCTCAAGTGCAGGTACACAAAGGTCACCTTCTAACCCCATTTTATGGCCAGCCCCTAAGTTTCCACAATCCCCATAATACCCCTGGTCTCCAATATTTGGTAAGTTTGCTAAGCATGTGGGATTAACGTTCAATGTAGCATCTGCATGGGCCATGTCATAGCGATGGTCAAGCATGGAGAAGGGATCGAATAATGTGTTGCTGTTGACGAACATGGCTTGCATGGATGCAGATGATGGGGAAGATGAATCCATGTTGTACATGGTCATGGTCATCATGTCATGGTCATGCATGGGCATAAGCGTTCCTCCAGTAATGTTGACATCTCTAGGCTCTGATGAATCACTATCGTTTGGTGATGATAAGGACGTGGAAATATTGTTCTTTTTCAACCTTTTCTTTAATGCAGAATTCCAAAAGTTTTTTATTTCATTGTCCGTTCGTCCTGGAAGACGTGCAGCAATCTGTGACCACCTAAATTGATAATGAGAAAAAACATTAAGACGTATAATTAGTTGGCAAAACAAATGCATGGCAATGTTTAATTAGTTGCTTAAATTATACTAGTGCATAAATGTCAACTGAGCTCTCAAACAAGCTACAAACTAAAAACACTAATTCAAGTTTGATGTCAAGGTTTCAACATGCATTAATTTAAGATAAAGAGGTTTTTTAATATTATATTAGAACGCGACCGAAAATCAATTGACAATGGGTGAAGAGGCCCAAGATCTTGCAAACTCTTACGCTAAACTTTCATTCTTAGATGTGATATACCATCAACACTTATGCTAGACTTCCTTAAATTTAAGTCCGCATAGTGCGAACCTGCGAAAAAGGAAGCATTGAGGATTTGAACACTCAAGCCCAGGTGTTTGAACCCCCATGGCAGTTTTTGTTTTTCAGTTTGCACTTCAGGCTTCAATAGTTTCATAATAAACAGTGGGGGCAATATGTAGATGTTAATTAGGATGTTTATGTGTATGTCAGTGACAAGTATGTTACAATGTCATATAAGTTAATGTATATCCAATATAATGGGGCATATAAGTTAATTTATATCCAATATAATAGGGTAATGTTAATTTCATCAACTTCGTTGAACTTCACTTCCCACATCAAATGAGGAGCGCATATGCATGTGGAAAAGCTTGCTGACAAACTACCTATCTGCATATATGGGGATCATATATTGCATAAAATAATTTTAGATTTGAAATGTATTTATGTATATGGGGAATTGTTTAATCTCACCCAAAAAAAATTGCATAAATATATATATGTTAGGAAAAGCTTGCCAAACTGTAAACCTATCGTTGGTTTAAGTTGATTTTTTCAAGTCGTCCATACACTCATACTATCTTTTAAGTTAACACTGCCATATATATGTTAGGAAATAGTTCATATGTAAATTTCCTTCGAATAATCTCTGTAAATGACAGCATAGAAATTGATCCTGATCATGATGATGACTAGGCTGATAATGGATAGAAAAGAAAATATACAAAGGGGAAGAAAAGCAACAGGACTCAATAATATTCTAGGGTAAAGCATTTCGAAATGGTGCTATATATGTTTTTGCGTTAAAGCATTATAATAGAGAGAGAGAGAGAGAGAGAGTACCTGTTGCCAAGAATTGAATGGAAATGGACGATAAGTTCTTCCTCTTGGGGTGAAAATGCACCACGCTTGAGGTCAGGCCTCAAGTAGTTAATCCATCGAAGACGGCAACTCTTTCCACACCTTTGGAGACCAGCATTTCTAGCAATGTCACTCCAACAGCCTTGTCCATTCGTCAACATGTACCTCATCAGCTTCTCATCTTCCTCAGGCGACCACAACCCCTTCCTAAGCTTGCTCATTATCATCTTCTTCTTCTTGTTAATATTGTTTGCTCCCTCCTCTTTTCCCATAGACTCTGGCTTTCGCATTATAATTGCTAGACCAGTTTCTGAGGGGTTTCTGATTTAAGTGGTTAATTTGAAGGATGGAGATCTAAAAGAAAGCTATATAAGATGATGAGAAGGCTTCATGGGGTGGTAATGGTGATGATGATGGTGATGGTTGTGGGGTTTGCTTAAAATATGAATGAATATAAAAGTTTGAGAGAGAGAGAGAGAGAGAGAGAGAGGAGAGAGAGAGAGAGAGAGAGAGAGAGAGAGAAAGAGAGATTGTGTTTGTTGGTCGATGGGTGGAGTGGGAAACGGATTGGAGGGGGACCTCCATGGCTCCATTAATTCCCATATGAGAGAGAGAGAGAGAGAGAGAGAGAGATTATTATGTGAAGTGGAAGCAAAAATGTAGCTGTCTCATATACAAAAGATGATATATAATTACCTTGTGAGTGAAGAAAAATGCATCGAAAAAGACAAGAAAGAGTCAAAGACAAGAAGACCAAACCCTCCGCCCTATCAACATACACGTGAATTTGAAGTATATGGCTAGAGAGAGAGAGAGAGTACAAGAGTACTCTTTGTACACTCTGGGCAAAGTGTGGCATGCACTTTTGCCACATGTTTGTACTTAATTAGTTTGTTTTGTGTGTTATGGATTGTTTAAGTGGTTGCATGAAACTTGTTGGGGATAACTCAATTATGAAAAGCATGCTTCTCAAGCAAACTCTCTCACTTTGGGATCAATTACAGTTGTTCTCTTTGGTCAAAATTGCATTCTCAATCTCATATTAGAAGTTAAGATTGCGCAGCTAGCAATATTCCTTAAACATATATCCTCCCACTCCCCACTACTGGCATGGGCATGGCATGCAATAAAATAAATGCCTTGGTCGTTGCCATGGCCCGACTCAAAGTGAATGAGAATTAATAGTTTCTTACCTGCGCTGCACAGAACCCTGTACTGAGCTTAAAAGCCAATCACAAGAAATCATTAGATCAAATCAACTCAAACGAACCCAAATAAAATACAAATTAAATACAAATAAAGACTGCTTTTGCAAGACTTGTTCATTTGTTAACTAAAAGAAGAAACAACCAATTATAGGCATCATGATATATAGACTGGATATAGTTTCACCAGATAAAAGTTATAACTGCTCTTCCTTTATTTCTCTTTTCATCACTGTTGAGAATTTCGACTGAACATCCCATCAGTGTTGTTAATTGATTGCTTCAAGTATTTCTATTATTATAAGGGAAGAAGATCAAAAGGTAATAAGAATAACCAGAAACAAAATAAAAGAAAGGCACCTTATAATTTCATTCCAGAAACTGTGCAACATTATTTGCACAGCCTTTGCTTATAACTTGGCATATTGTTCTCTAATTGGAAAGAAATTTATCCTAGTAATTAAATCGCTAGCATTTTCTTTTATTTACAAGTTCGCTTGTCAAGCAGTTCTAGCAAGTATATCTTATGTTGCTTAAGAACATTTCATAATTGAGTTATCCCCAATCTTATATTTAATTAGATTCACAATCTGGCAACTTAATTTGAGAAGAGAGTATTTCCCGTGCATAAGGAATATGTTCTCTTTTCAGACTGTCTCGATATAATGTTTCCCCATTACTAATCTAGACTATCCATCAAGACGACTCTTTATATGATTGTGTTGTCTAAACTTACCCAAACTTAAGATTTCTCATAATCATATAAATTGGCTTCCACTAATCCATCATAAATTGGCTTCCACTAATCCATCGTTATGCATTAATCATAAAAATAAAAAAAATAAAAAATTGCGATTTCTTTTTAACTTGGAGTATGCATGCGTTTAGATAAACCCGAAATTTCGCTATCCTGTATGTTGTGTCACCTAATTTTCCTGTCCCTGCATGCTAAGAGCTGTGACTTCCCAGTCATTTTCAAAGCCAAATGGCAAATCAGGTTTACAAGGGAGTCATATTCAATTATTCCAGATAATTCCAATGAAATATTCAGTTACTTATGTTTGTTAACCAAAAACGACACTCACATTTTTTTCTGGGGGAAAAGTGAGTGCAAAACTCTCAAGCTACTCAAGTGTTCGTAAAAAGCCCTGTGTCCTTCGACAGCTGTCCCAGGATAGAATCTATATCTCATGCTTTCGAGGCTGTCCGAAGCAACATGCCTGCTTGGTTACAAAGACAAGAAACACCAACCCATGACCTGAATTCATTCAATCTCACACCTTGTACTACAAACCTTACAAAAGTGAATGTATCATTAAAAGAATCTGTGTCTTAAAATCTGGCAAGGTGCAGGAAAAGACCAAATTTCCTCACACTGCCTCAACAAACCATGGGGTGAAAAAGCAATGCTCAGAAAACTCATGACCAAAGAAAAAGGTGGAGAGATTGATCTGGTTTGACCATTTATACCTCTGTTTGCGCATAGATTGTGGAGTTTCTATCATTATACTTTTTTTATGGGGGAAAAGTGGAGGGAGGCATGAGCACCAAAAACCAATGAGACAAAAAGTTCATCCAAATTCGTCCCAAAAAAAAAAAAAAAAAAAAAAAAAAAACAAATTCTAAATAGAGAAGGAAAAAAGGCACATCACATGTTAGAATTGCAACTTTTTTTTTTTGGATTATGAATCATAAAGCTAATTACACAAGAAAATATTGGATTACACTCTGGAAAAGAAAAGGCATCTACATAATTTACTCAAATGCCATAATCGAAGCTTAATTATATATTTATAATTACGCAATTGACGGCAAATTTAATAAATTAAAACTCTTGCTTGACACACTCTTTGTCAAACGAAGTACATTAGCCCATATCAATGAAATGTCTGTCTACTTCAATATGTTTTGTTTCGAGCGAATCATGTCTGAACCTTGACTGTGAGTAAATGTTGATGGCAACCCTGTTATCTTAGTTAAGCGTTACGTTCATTGGATCCCAATTCTTTGAACAAAACCTTGAGACATAATGTCTCGCATATACCATGACTCATGGCTTCAAATTCTGCTTATGCACTTGATTTAGCCATATTGAAGTGAATAGACATTTCATCAATCCAATCTTCCGGCCAGAAGCTCCCATGAAAATTTTGAGGCAAAAAGAAGGCTGAAGCTCCGCCACAGTTAAGAGGATCAGTTCACATTGTCGAAGGGGATTCCGATATGATTGTGACAGGTTAAGATGTGGGGTTTTTGGTTAGCAATTAGACAAATTAACTCATACTTAGTTCATGCCAATCTTAGTTTTGGACTACTCATACTTCAATAATCCTCGATTGAAATGAGTGTGATGACACCAATCACCACATACTACTTAAGGAACGTTTGTAAAACACAGCCAATGAACAGCTCTCTATATAAATATTTGTGCAGCAATATAACAGAACTTAACAAGCTTTTGACTTCAAAGGCGAAAACGCGACAAAACAGGAAGATAAAGAACATGAAACTAGCGAGTCTCTTGCCCAGAACAATGCAGAAAAACAAGCTTTTATTTGCAAATAGATGGCATCCAGATCAAGTTGCTTTCCATCTTTTTAGAAAGGGTTCAAGCACCAAAATTAAACCACTTTTTTTTTCCTTCTTAGAACTTTGACAATAACAGATACATGAAAAATGGGGGTGACCGCAGTATCAGTCTGTTAACACCTTTTAGAGGCTGTCCAAGTTTGCGGGTTCCCGCAAATACCTCTCCATCTGGCGTGCCCTAGTCTTAATGGACATGTCAAACACCTTCTTATCAAACTCTACCACAAGCCCACCCAGAATACTAGGATCAATCTGGCATGTAAAACAGAATCAAATTTCCATCCATTATAAAACAATTGGTGGATTGAAGGGCAGATGAGAAGACCAATACATACCTTCTGCTCAAGTATGACCTTCTTTCCCTGTCCAATTAATTCCTGCAGTGTCTCCTTCAATTCTTTCTCCTCCACAGCGGGAAGGGGCTGATCATAGAATAACAATTAGACAGAATATGGCATAAAATATATACAATGCATAGTTTGGTACTGGTTGGTCAACTCAATTTCCTTTCCATGAAACTTTTACCGAAAAGAACAACTTATATGAAGTCTTCCATGAAAATTCCACCATCTTGTATCAAGATATCTTTCCAACTGAATTGTTCCAGGGCATAATCAATGTCATCACAAATGATACTTAAAAACGCAGTACAAAAACAGAACACAAATCAAACCCATACAACATCTCATGATACCCCAACAATAAGACAGCATTAGATACAACATCAATTCCTCAGATACTTCAAAACACAGTTTAAAAATAATAAATAAATAATAAAAAAACATAAACTCAAACGTCTCATAACAACACCCCAATAATAAGAAGTCTAATTAATGACAAAGTAAGTTTTTCCATGAGATTTAGGACTATTTGTTTCCCAAATAAGCACAAAATCAGCACAAAAGTAATTCAAGCAAAAACAGCATAAGCTTCTGAAATGGAACCTCCACGGAACAAGGAAATTTTTTTATATGAAAAAAGGAGACGCCTAGCCTGGGAGCGAACATAAACTTAACCCCTCAAAGTCAAAGAAAAGCTAAACAAAACCAAAACAAAAGAAAGTCAAGTAAACCTGTAACTATGGAGCCCCAAAAGGTCCAAGGAACAAGCCAGCATAAAGGTGAGTTGAGCACCCTATTTAGCAAACTGGTTATTAATCATTTTGTTTAAAAATATCGCTTCAAAACAGGCAGCCCACATTATACTTGAAAAAACTAGAACAAAATAACCATAGACTAGAGCCCAAAGTCATTAGGGACACTAATGACCATGCTAATTTCGTTCAAGTGTTTCATACCAAATGCTGCTACACGTTTCAACAATCAAAAATCATTTCAAAGAAAACACATAAAGTATTGTGTAATAAGAGAACAGCTTAAAAGTACTAAAAAGACTAATGTCAGTTATGTCCTTTGGAATAAAAATCAAAAACAATTTCCGTTTCTGTAGAGAAAAAGCATGGCAAATCATAATACCATCACGACAAGTTTATGTAAAACAGATACTATGAAGTATGAGTACTTCTTGCATTGCAACCACTATGCCAAGTCCAACATTTCAAATACAAAAACCCAGCATAGTTGCAAGCAATCTTTTTATTCTCGTGAGTACAAACCTTCTACATTCATTGTACTTTTACCCAAAAAAGTTGCATCAAATCAAAACTATTCCAGTGATACTTTCTTCTTTTAAATATCAAACTAAACGTCAGTATATAATATAGATGTTGATCATTTACAACCAATATTAAAATTAATGACCATTGACCAGTCACATTAGAAATTACAGCCCAACTCGAGCAATATAACTTGTTACGAAAAATAAATTTACCATCAAAGCACTACAACTTACAATGACAGATGTAACAATAGCTTTCACTTCTCCCTTATGTGCCATGGTCAACTCCACAAATCTCTTTGCTATGGTTTCAAGGTTCTTTAGCCTCCCATTCTGAGACAAGATAACTGCAAAAAAAATTGTATATGGGTTAGTATGTGTGTATGTACACATATAACATATACATATACATGTAGAGAGAGAGAGAGAGAGAGAGAGAGAGAGAGTTTTAATTAAGCAACCATGAGAACAATTAGAATTAAAAGCAAGATCAAAGTTGAGTGAAAGATCAATAAGGAAAAGAATACCTAATTTAATGAACATACTTGCAAACATGATAAAACACCTCAGCGAAGACAGTTATTAAAGCCATTATATTAACAGCACACAGCCAGGTCAAAATCTTGATAATAGCTCTCAAATTAGTGTTCATATATAATGCAGACAAAAAGCCTTGGTGTGAACAGTACATTGCACATACCCAGGACACAATTTTGCTAAAATAGCTGTCAAATTTACAGGGCAAATATAATACAGAAGACTATATTTACCCAAGTTCAATTACATACAAACATGTTAAATATGTAACTACTTTTATAATAATAACAAAACAAATAATAATGAATGTTTCAAAGATGAAGGTGTAACACAAGAGGTTTTAATCCCCGCAAGGTGAGGCGTAAGCCCTTTAGGACCCAATTATGTCTGTTTATACTTAGAAATACCCACTGCATTGTTGACTGCAAATCTGTATTTTTCTCCTTCAGCTTCTTTCTCATGCATCCAACCAAATTCTTCTTACTCGTGGTTTATTAGTAAACCTTCACTGAAATTTTTCAGATAGGAAAAAAATTGCAGACAAATGAACAAAGAAAGTAAAATGCTTGGCGATTAGAGTTTTTGAGGCTTAGAGCTGACAAGGATTTGGGTTTGGAGCCGCCAAAGACGAAATTAATTTGGGATTATGATTTTTTTGGTTTAACTTTCTATTGGGAGGGAGCACATCTGACTTTCCTTGGCTTGATTTGATGCTCTTAAGTCTTGAAAGTACAAAGAATTACAGGAAAAAAAAATGAAAAAAACATAAGAATAAATCTAAAACTAGAAAGAGTCACTAATCATACCCAAAAAGTTCTTTGTAACATCTGAAAATTTAGCTTGAGCAGAAATTTCATTGATTGCCTTCACTCTAGTATCTGCTGGCACTGACAAATCCTTTGTGAACTGAGAAAACGTAGGACTTCTCTTCGTAGACTCAACAATGTCAAGAATCTCAGACTCAACCTTCTCCAAGGCATTAGCTTTTACTGCAGCAATGTACAAAGCAGAGGCATAGTTCCCAGAACCCCCAAACAACACTAGAGGCACCTGGCATTCATGGCAGGACAAATCAATATAATCTAAATAATATGATTGAATTCTGACACAGTAAGCACATACATCAGTTGTTTTATATTACTAACACTTCACAAAATCTAATTATAAGTCCATTGAATCTTACTGTACCTCGAAACATAAATTTAGATATTTGTTTTCCTTTTTCCAAACACCGTTAAAACCCAACAAATGACACACTAATTCGTATTAAAAAGTATACATAACAAATTATATAACATCCAAGAAATGTATAACATCTTCTACCCCTGCTCAATAATAAACATCACTCGTGCACTTGATAAGGACTTAATTTTCTTTCAAAATGAAAATTGTAAGGCATACAATCCCAGAAAATGTTAAGCCAAAGAATTCCATTACCTTAACCTTCACTTCCTTCTTCCCAGGTGCGGTAGAAAAATTCTTTGACAACTGCAAGTACCAAATGTGAAACAATGAATCCGCATTCCGAAAATTCAACTGTAGTTGACATAAAGACCTCCTAAATTTTATTTTAAAAACTTATATTAAAACACACAAAGAGAGACACTGAGGAATAGGAAAAGCAAATTCATATAATGTGAATCATAAATCTTCTTCCTTCCAAATTTCCACCGATTCTAATCTATCAGTTTGGCTCAGTTAACGCACATTTTTCGCCATCTAGAAACAAAAACAGAAATGAAAATTTTTTATAAAAAAATTATTAAAATTTCTAATGAAGAAAGTAAGGAAACTAGATCAGACACGTAAAATCTGTTCTTTGCATTTCTGTGATTTGAGAATCTCTGTACCTCAGAATTGGTGAAAGTAGGGCAAAGTACAGACCGCTGGGCACTGGACCCGTGGGCGGCGGAAAGCGAATCCGATTTGAGAATCTTGGTTACGAGAGGAAGGCTCGATCGGATTCGATTAGCAAAAGCCATTGTCAAGAAACCCTAATTTTCTGTCTGTCTCTCTCGCGCAGTCCTGCACTTTCTGCGTAGCCAAACAGAGCTTCGAAAATGAAAACTAAAATAGAGGCTGGGACAAGTAGCGAATAGTAATTAGTCATCCAGGCGAGAATATTAACAAGTGGTACTGATTTTATATGCTACTAGTACGGGAGCTCAACACGTGTCTGCTAAGGTGAAACAATAGCATACTCACCTTTGGAATAAGGTTCACAAACACTAGTTATATTTTTTTCAAAACTGTAACTGTTTCGTTTGGTATTAATGGAATTCCATCTTTCCCTATAATAAATAACCTTTTATTAACAAAAATTATCTAAACTTTTTTGAACAAACAAATATTTACCGAATACTCTTACAACGGGTCAAAGTACCCAAGCGAAGCTACACCACTACAATGGTCTAACAATTATTGACTGACCTAATAAGGCGCAAGGAGCTACACCTCATCTCGCTGGATAAGTCATTATAGATGTTAAGATGCACTTTAGGTGTTCAACGAAAAGCCTAAACGAGGTCTGTGCATGCCTTCTTTTTTTTAATCCTGGTTGAAATGATGCCATTTTAGGCTAGAGTTTTTTATTTTAATAAAAAAAGACCTGGGCTGTCATTTCTTGGGCTTTAACCTATTTCTATCTTCATCTTTTTTGGTCGAAACGCCTATTTCTATCTAAGGGCTGCATAAAAAAGGACAAAAGGCTTTTTAAACTTTAGGGCTTTTAACAACAATACTTTCTTCTTCTTCTACAACAATTGGTTATTTGTGATGCTATTTTTTTATGACTTATAAATGACATTGGTATTGTTTAAATTATAAGGATATTTGATTGTCAATTTTTTTTTATATATAAAGCTTTTAGCCTTTCAAAATTGCACATCCACTAAAAAGTTTCTAGATCTTCCAGTGCTAACAACAACTAGGTATCAAATTCATCACAAAAAATATATAATTTTAGTCATTGACATGACCGAACCTAAGACATCTTCCAACAAAATAAAGACAAATACTACTACCATTCCAAAGCCTAGTTGATTTCTTTCTTTCTTTATTTTATCAAAAGAGTAGCAATTTGTTCGAGACCTCATGTGATTTTTCTTTCTTTTTCAATTGGAGATACATATAAAAAGTATGGCAGTCGAACTTTTGATGCTTGTGCAAGAGTTCAATGGTAAGGTAAAGTTATAAGTTTATAACTAAGGTGTACATCGGTTCGAAATCAATATAATTTTACCAATCCGCATCTGATCCAATATAGATTGGATTATGATTTTTTCAATCCAATCCAATCATATTAGAGGTTTAAATCCAATTGATATTGAAATGGATGATCGGTTTTCATAATGGAAAAATATAATAATGAAATATGAAACATTTATCGTCAAGTTTAACATAATCAAACATTTTTAAAATGTAAAATATAAATGAAATGCTAGAAAATATTATTTTGATTTTATAATATATCAAACATAACTCCATAAAATTACTTAAAATGTTTATAACTTTCTTAATGCAAATTACTTAATGAGCAAAATAAGCATGTGTTTGGGCCAAAAGCAAAAACACACAGGCCCACTTCTCAAAAAGCCCGTAGAGCAAAGGACATGGGCTTCAAAAATCAAACAGGAAAAGAACCCAGCCCACGTTTTTCAAAAGGATGGCATAAATGTAAAAATACACAAAAGAGGGGCAAAATTCGTTCTAGACAAATCAAAGAGAGAAGAAATCGGGCCGGGCCTAGATCATTACCATCTCTCAAAAAAGGCCCAAAAGAAACAAAATTCTGGAAAAAGATACTTTTAGAAGAACCCCACGTGAAGTTCTTTTCTCATACTTTGAAAAGTCAAATAAATCAACTGCCACAGAGTTGATAAAAGGAAGGGTCAGTAGCTGGCAAAAACTAGGAAAGGACATCTCTGAAATTCAGAAAGATCAAATCCCCTTACATATTAATATATTTAAGAGATATTTCTTCTACAAGTGATTCTCCCGAGAGATAAGCAGACTACAAGCTTGAAAAGAAATAGGCATGAAAGTAGGGATTTTGTTCCAAAAAAAAATCAAAACTAGCCATCACAGTCTATAAACTCTCACAGGGAAGTGATCTTAAGAACTGACGGTTGAGTGCCAGAATTAAATTATTGTATTTCTTGTATCTTTTGAAAGATTTGCCGCCCATTATTAAAAAGAATTACTACCCCACTCTAGATTACATTTCTTATAAATACAAGAAGGAGTGAACAGGGCAGAGGACAATCAATCCAACACTCAAGTCATCAATCAAACAAACAACTCAAAATCAACCAGAAGCTCACTTGAATTCCAAGTGAAAACCAGCTTTAGATCAGAATTCCCAAGGTTTAGACTTAGAAAATAAGTCATTCAAAACGAGATTTCTCTCGTTACAAATTTGGTTCAGCAAAAAACCAAGACAGGTAGAGCTTGAGCTTTTCCCAAACATGAAAACCTCAACAAATTTTACAGTCCAGTCTCTAGCCCACTGAAGTCCTCGAGAACAGCCACTTCTGCCCTTACAGTCGCAGTTCTGCCCACTCAGAAGCCTCACAAAAGCTTGAAGTGTATTAAAGCTCTGCCAAAATTAACCTTTAGTATCGATCTACAGCTGAAGCTTAGCAGCAGAAGTTGTTAACAGTCCAATCCAGCCCAGATATTTCCAGTCCAGCCTGGATCATAACCTCATATCCAGGCAAAAATAGAGTTCCAGCTGTCCTTTCATCTTTCTAGCTTGGATATTTATGTTTATAGTTTTGTAAAAGGCAATTCTGCCTAAAACAACTTAAATTCCATTAACCATTCTGGCCAGAACAACCTCTTTATACTGAGATAAATTGTTAAAGTCCTCACCAGTCTGAGGCAAGAAAAGAACTTACTTGGGAGATATTCCTCACCCAAATTCACAATCGCTTGTTTATGGAAATCAGTAACTTGGGGCGCAAGTTATCTATTCTAGAATAAGTCTGCTAGAATCTTCATTGCTAGCAGTGGCACGCTCATACACCAAAGAAAGTTGACTTGTTGACCAGTCAATGGTTTTCAAGGCTGTGGGGAACTTTGCCCTTCCACCACAGGAGTGATCACAAAACGGGTGAACAATTTGGCACGCCCAGTGGGACTTCTTAGTATACATATTCTCACATAATTCTTCTCAAGTTTATGAATATTGGAAGCTCTAGCCAGAACCCACACCACGCCATAAAGATAAACAAGGTGGCTCTCAGGGAAGGACTGGAGTCAGAGGAAAGTGATGTCAGGCACTCAGCACACGGCAGCACAGGGAGCAGACGGTCCAATACTGGCTCCAAAAGAATGAACCTGATTCAGGAATCTGTGTTGCGACAAGAAGTCAGAACACAAGGGAGCCAGGACACTCTCAATAATATGATAGCCATGATGCAATGGCAGGTCAACAGGCAGTTCAGGAAGGACCATGAGGCTGCCATAGCCAGAATTCCAAATCCGAATGTTGTAGTCCAGCAGCTAGATCTTCCCTATGGTCCTCCACCAGGATTGGCATGACCATATCAAGAGAATCCTCTTATTGTACAGATAGCTGGGATGCCAGAACGTGGGGAAATTCAGGCTGGACAAAGAAGAGGAGCCCTTCCTGTCTAAGAGCGTCAGGCCCTAATCCGGCCGGAAGACCCTGCACCAGAACAGATTCAACAGAACCAGCCAGAGCCTCAGCCTATTCCACAACCCGTGGCCTCACAGGATCAACCTTTGGCACTTCTACCTGAACCACCAGCAATGTTGCCCTACAAACCCAGAAGGATGGATCCCAATCCATTCCCTCCACCCGCAAGAGGAAGGAGAGGCAGAAGGGGAAACTACCCTTTTGCTAACAATGACAGGAACAGGCAGGGGGCAAATTGGAGGAACCACCCAGATTTGGAAGAACATAGGGAAGAAGTTCTGCCTAGGCCATATAGGGCGGAACCCAGGATTGACTACGCCCAACCAAAACAGGGGCAAAATCTCCTCCCCATTAATGCTTTAAATGACGTGGGGGCATTGCAAAGGATGATTAGAGAAATGAGGGAGCATGAAGCCAGAATAGGAGAAAGGCCCACCTATAAAAAGCCATACCTAGCTTACATTGATTAGATACCCTTATCCCCAAGTTTCAAAGTACCAAACTTCACTTTGTTCAACGGAGAGGATCCCCATGCCTCATCAGTTGAGCACATAGGCAGATTTTCCGTCTAGTGCATAGCCATAGAGAATAACCCTCTGTTGAAGCTAAGGCTTTTCGGAAATTCTCTCTCTGGACAAGCTTTTACTTGGTACACCAATCTGCCAGCAAAATTATGTTCAAACTTGGGAGCAGATGGAGAGTGTTTTCCATGATTACTATTATAGGATTCAGCCAGAGGTCACCATCAGTGACCTTGCTGCCCTCAAGCAGAGTGAAGATGAACCTGCTCAAGACTTTATAACCAGGTTCAGGAAGCTCAAAATAAAGTGCCGAATCCCTACGGAAGAAAGACACTTCATCCAGATGGCTCAGGCTGCCCTCAAAATCTCTCTAAGAAAAAAATTTGATTGAATGTTGTTTGGAGACCTGGTAGAACTGGCAGATAAAGCATCCAAGTACGAGGAGCTACTCAGGGAAGAACAGCATAAAAGAAACTCTTCCAAAGGCACATATTATAAGTCCTTTTCTTCTTCAATACATATGATTGAGGTAGAGTCAGAAGAAGATGCAGAAGGCTCGGAGGAGAGAGAGATTGCAGTGGCAGAGATGGCAAAATTAAAGCACCCCATCAGTTGTAAGGCTCTTACAAAGCCTCCAAGAGATCAGAAGCCGCCACCATTCACATGAGGGTTTGTTCCAAACAAACCAACACAAAACAAGGTATATTCCTTTGATCTGACCAAGGTGGATGCTTTGTTTGACGAAATGTTACTGCAGAAAGCAATAGAGACACCCCAAGTACGAGGAGCTGGTAGAACTGGCAGATAAAGCATCCAAGTACGAGGAGCTGCTCAGGGAAGAACAGCAGAAGAGAAACTCTTCCAAAGGCACATATTATAAGTCCCCTTCTTCTTCAATACATATGATTGAGGTAGAGTCAGAAGAAGATGCAGAAGGCTCGGAGGAGAGAGAGATTGCGGTGGCAGAGATGGCAAAATTAAAGCACCCCATCAGTTGTAAGGCTCTTACAAAGCCTCCAAGAGATCAGAAGCCACCACCATTCACATGAGGGTTTGTTCCAAACAAACCAACACAAAACAAGGTATATTCCTTTGATCTGACCAAGGTGGATGCTTTGTTTGACGAAATGTTACTGCAGAAAGCAATAGAGACACCCCACAAGATGCCCAAGCCAGAAGAACTCAAGGGCAGACAGTATTGCAGATGGCACAATCCATCAAATCATCAAAATCGATTAATTTTGAATTGGATTGGATTGAATTAGATCGGTCAATTTGGACAGATTGGATTGGATTTTGCACACCCCTATTTATAACTTTGAATTACTTTACTATCACTTCATCCACACCCATGTCACTTGAGTGAAGATTGATAAACAATTACCATCTATCTCATCCCATCCATCTTGTGTAATTTAGATTGCTTTTTTCTTTGTTTGATGATCTATGTTAGATTCCAGACAGATGGAGTAGTGGTTCGCTACTACTAACACCGATATTGTGTCCAACTTAATCATCACTTGCTTAGTCCACTATATGTGGGATTTTACTAAAAAAAAACTTCAGTGTTATTAATAATGGAACCACTCATTATATATTGGATTTATTTGATCAAATTTCCGATATATGAGATTATTATTTTTTTATAGTCAAAACCGATATGTGAGACTTTACATTATTCAACATGTCTCCTTACATAGGACCGCATATAGCGGACTGTGCGTACAGCCAATGTCACATCGGTTGTTATTGGCACTCTATATGAGGGTCCAGTTAATCAGTCAAGCCCACACTTGAAAACCACATATTGAGTAAAACTGTTTGGATCAAGTGAGAACACTTATGTGAGAACATTACATGAGAACACCGTTGGATCTAATCTAACAGCTGCATGAAAAGCAATTGTAAGTGTAAGTGTTATTTAGAACGAGGCCTTCTTCTTTCTCCTCCCTCCAAAACTTCGAGTCGAAAACAGACGTCCCCTCCAAAACAAACATCCCCTCTAATCCAGCTGTTCGGTTTGTTCAATTAAGTGGCCAATTTTTTTATCAGCTTTGATTGAGCAAGACCAATAACACTGAAGAGATAGCGCCCCTGGTATTCCTTAATCGATTCCAGGAAGAACACAGAAGTATAGCCCTCATTTTTTTGGGTTTCTCATTCAAGCAAAAGAAAGTGTTCGTGTATTTTATATTATCATCTTTGTAGTTCGGTCTTTCTGGTCGGAACATTCGTTAATCCTTGAGCAACGTCTTGAGTTGGAAACTGGTGACCGTGACCATTGTGATGTTCTCTTGGTTTTGAAATCATTAAGCACGGTCGAAACAGGGGTTAAGGAAGATGAAAAGTGCTTGGGGTTAACGTCCAGATCTAAAAGGGCGACATTGTCATATTTGTAGAAATTTTGAAGTTGGAAATGACTCACGAGGTAAGTGATATACTGTATTTGTCAAGTTTATTATTGGGCATAAGCATGAGTTACATTAGTTTGTATATAGGTCTTTAATATTTCACCAGAGAATCATTTTCATATCATATGTTAGTTAATATATATATATATATATATATATTAAAGCTCTTTGAAAGCATGTGCCAATGTTGGTATGATGGTGGTGAATTCAGGGTTAAATTGCAAGAACTATGAAATGAAGTGTGGAGGACAGGTGACACCGGAAGTAAGGCCGAAGTTGAAACCAAAATTGGGATTTGAATTTGATTGTTGTGACGATGTGTTTAATTTCTATAATATGTATGCTGCGAAAACCGAATTCGGCATTCGGTGTTCTACAACGAGAACGTGCACACTGACAAGAGAGGTAACAAGGAAGGAATATGTATGTTGTAAACAGGGGTATTCATTGACAAGCACTGTTAGTCGTAAGAGAAGACGACGAGGTTGTACTCAAACTGGTTGCAAAGCTAAACTTGCAATATTGAAGGTGAAAGACAAGAATAAGTACATTGTTGTAGGATTCAATGAGGTACACAACCATGACATTACCACAGTTGATAAAGTCCATCTATTGAGACCTAACCGTAACTTAACAGAGTCTACAAAGGTCTATAGTGCACATATGAGCAAAGTTAATATTCATGTACATAAACAGGTAAGCCTTCTTGAGGTGCAAGTAGGGGGATTGGAAAATGTGGGGTTTGTTAAGAGAGATGTATACAATTATGTAAGGGACGTGCGTGGAGAAGTGATTGGGCATAATGCAGAGCTGCTTAAGGAGCATTTTTTGGCTGAGCAAGAAAAGAATAAATCCTTTTATTTCAATATAGAGGTAGATTCGAAAGGAACAATGGGTAATGTTTTCTAGTCAGATGCAAGGTCAAGACGAGCTTATGGGTTTTTTTGGAGATGTGGTGGTATTTGATACGATGTTCAACATGAACCGCTATGGGATGGTCTTTGCACCTTTGTTAGGCGTTAATAACAATCGGCAGACAGTGTTGTTTGGTTGTGCATTCCTAACTAGTGAAACCACATATTCATTTGTATGGTTGTTAGAGGAATTCAAGAAAGCCACGCTGGGTGAGACACCCCAAAATGATCATCACTGATCAAGATGCATCCATGTCAAAGGCAATTGTTGTAAGTCTCCCGACAACATTCCATAGATATTGCATATGACATATCTTGAATAAGATTATAAAGAAACCCGGCATTGGAGAATGTTTTTTGGAAATGTGCAAATGCATATGGGGTATGGACACGAAAGAAGAATTTGATGAGAAATGGGAGGAAATCATCACAAACAATGGGCTGAAAGACCATAAGTGGCTGAGCTCAATTCATGCTATGCGGAAATATTGGGTTCCATCATATGTAAAACATGTGTTTTTGGATGGGATGTCAAGTAGTCAACGGGCCGAAAGCTGTGATTCATTTTTCAAATAATATATTAACCGGAAAAAACACATTGATGGAATTCATTGTACGTTTTGATTCACAGAGACACAAGGAGTTAACGGATGATCATGTTGATAACAATGAAAAACCTCCACTGTCATTTTAAACACCAATGCAACATTAAATGAGACGCATTTACACTTGGGAAATTCTTGAAATGTTTGAGAGGGAAGACTTCAAAATTCTTTTATTCTTGTTTGAACTTGTAGAGCAAGATGAGACGCACTGCAGATACAAAGTAAGTGAGCGGGTAAATCCGGGGGTGACACGGATGAAGGAGCTTGTGCATGATAAAGATGCCGATAAAGCTTATTGCAGCTGCAAAGGATTTGAATTTTGGGGTATTCCATGCTGACACATCCTAGCATTCTTAAGAAAGAAGCAAGTTGAGCACTTGCCAGACAAGTACATATTCAAACGATGGCTTCAAAGTGCGAAAAGCAGTGTAATACATGATAAGAATCACAAAGAACTTAACGATTGCATTGATGGTTTGCTTTTGATTAAGAGATCGAGAGTTTGCAAAGTTCCTAGTTATCACCAGTGTTTTTGCATTGCTTTTGGCTATACTATTTATAAATATAAAAAAAGACCCCAACCATTATGCCCCACGTGTCAACACATATCTTTTTAAATAAATAAAAAATCAAAACTAAGTATAGCCGTGCGGCTATACTATTTTTAAATATTAAAAAAAACCCTAGCCATTAAGTGCCACGTGTCAACACATGTCTTTTTTAAAAAAATTTAAAAACACGGAGTATAGCCGGGCGGCTGTACTCTTTTTTTTAAAATAATAATAAAGAACCTCTATCGTTTAAAGCCACGTGTCAAAAAAAGGTATAGCTGCCGACTATACTATTTTTGTATATAAAAAATCGCTCGGCTATAGTATTTAATTAAAAAATTAATAATAAAAAAGTACCCTCCTAGTTGCATTGGTTTGTACCTTATGGATATTAGTTTGCAACATATCCAAAATAGATATTAATCTTCCACTATTTGATATTTTAAGATAATTTTTATACCATATGTTATTCTTATTCAATAATGTGCGAGAATTTTTGTATAATACGTGAATTTTTTGTGTCTTACTGAAAATTTTGTAAAAACTACGTGCATAAAACATTAGAAATATGTATGTAAATGTACAATACGAATATTGTATATTTGCTTTTTAAAGAAAACGTGAGACGTGTATAGAACACGAATGTATTGTTGAAAAATACATACCTACATATGTGTGTATATAAATAGGCGCAACTTGACATTTGGGCTAAGGGGAACTGCAGTCTACCCATTTTTACCATAAGCTTGCTTTTCTCTTTAGCCGTTTAGATAATTTAGATAGCTGAATTTGATTCTCATATAAGGTTCGCACATAAGCGTTCTCACTAGATAACCGCTCTTACGTAAAATGTAAGAGTAAATGCACGATGATTTAGGCCCAGTACGTGGTTTAGTCTGTTTGCTTGGTATACAAATCGGACACGCTGAAGCTGAAATTGTTTACAATTGAGGTACGTGCTGTTCCACATGCAAAACAAAACACAAGAATTTGGACAAGAATTTGGACAATCTTCGTACTGCACAAAAGTCTTTCCCAAATGCTCGCTTTAGTAGGGAAAAGAATAGCATAGAAAAGATGATTAAAAAAACCATAAACGACTTGGCAAATCGACATTTGAAAGCTGAATTTGCAAATTCACTAAACCTAACTATACCACATTGCCGAATGTGAATTGTACCACATTGGTGACCACATCCTCCCATCATATGTGAGAGACAAACAACTCTGACCACTAAGAATTGAATGTGGTCATGTAGCATCGGTCTTGTAGAGTTCACCGTCAGATACATCGTGCTTTCTCCACTTTCACGGCCTCCTTGTTCAAGCAACACTACACTGTAATCGAAATAGGGAGATAGCGAAGAAAGAAATGTAAATTTACAATTGAGAAGGTAAACAAAATGAAAGCTGCACTTTAAATGTTTAAAGCTAAGCAAGATTGAAAGAGTTAAGGAAACAATTAAACCTCACATTAAAAAATAACAGAAATCTTGTTAATAGAATTAAAGAAAAGACAAACCCCAGTTTGTAAAACAAGACATAGAATGTATGTAAATCACTTTCACAAATTTATCTGCACAGGTGACTAGCATGATTATGCTAACTATACATATCAGTTGTAGAGGATCTATAGAATGTTTGAATCCAATATTTTGAACTTTGAAAAAAAAAAAAAAAAAAAAAAAAAAAAAAAAAAAAAAAAAAGAAATGGTATGGGTGACACAGACATAATATATGTATGTTTTGTATTTACCAAAATAATTCATAATAGTAATGTTTTAATTCCAGAGACAACTTGTATAGGATATAACAAAGACTAGCAATATTAGTCTACGCCCAATAGCATTTTAAAAAAACTACAAGACAATCGAACATTAATGCAGTTGATAAGGCCGTGATGATGGTGATCGAACGAAATTAGGATGGTTTACTCATGCAATATGTACATACCTCTAAGAATATTCTAATACTTGATCTTCCACATTAGAGAGGAATGTGAACTATCAACAGCATAACTTAGTTGAGAAGACACAGACCCCGTTATTTTATGACTCAACAACTTAGACGTCAATAAGGAGAGCAACTCCTTATGCCGTGATTGCTTCCTCTTCAGTACTTGGATATAAGCAAATAAACCAAGCCACTCAACTTCTCCCTTTTCCAATTGAAGTATTGGTTGGAAGTCAGAACCATTGTACACAGAACGCATCCTTCTCCTTATGAGCACATACATGTACCTAAAATCAATGCAACAAAAAGATCATAACTCCTCCAAAAAGAGGATGTAAGAGATCTTGTTATACTTAACATTTTGGATAACTGATTGAATGAGATACCATGTAAGGAAAACCAGTTGTAGCTAGCTTTAAGTATATCAAGATCTTAGTCAATTATCAAAGCTCAACTAACTTCCATGTGGAAAGACTGCTTATTATTGATGAAAGACTTAGAAAAGATTAAAGGCAAAGTAACAGAAGCATACCTCAAAGATCTCTTGATCATGTTAGCACAGGATCTAATGCAAAGTTTCCATATGTTTGATAAGTCACGAACATAACAATGGAACTTCATTGCACATAACAAGAACGCTTGGTAGAGATTTAATCTCACAACAGATGCTGAATTAATGTTGGAATCAAAGAATATTGGATGACATTTAGGTCTCATATAGTCACACAATTTTTCCTTCAAATGATGACTAGGTTGGCCTTGCCAGCTGACAGTAAGAGTTGAACTTAAATGGTTGCTCAAATACCTGATAAACAGATCAAACGAGTTACTCGAAAAACTTAGACCAGGAATGATATTGTTTTGACACACTTGATCATAGTGTTACCATTACAAAAGGCCACAACCATTACAAACATGCAACAGATAATTATCATCCTGGAAAAATGGGTAATCTAAAACAGACATTGCTTTGGTAGACTGTAGATATGATAAATTTATAACATGTTCGACAGTGCATGCATAAAACAATAAATCTAACATGTTCGACAGTGCATGCATAAAACAATAAATCTAAATGTTATTGGTCCTAATAAATTATGAAATATAAAATTAATCATATAAGGGAATTAACTTTGTGTAGTCTGCCTGAACTTCGAGAGTGCAAGAATTGATAAGCAAACCACAATATCGAAGGAATGATATGCCGTCTTCACCAAGATATACCCTGTTTGATGGCAGCCCAGGCATCTGTCGAATATCAAAATTTACACCAAACTTTTTCTCATTCATGAAGCAGTTGTAATCCCGAAATCCTCTTTGCAACCTGGAGTAGAAGCTAGAAGCCTGCTTCTTTGAAGTTGAAATGAAAAGAAAGTCATCAATAAATCTTACTAGAAAATGACTAGAGGACGAACCAATTTTATCCTCACTACCACTCTGTGGAGCAGAAGCATCTTCAAAATTATGTCCCCTTGATAAATCTACTCCCGCAGGTTCCCAAGTTTTTTCAAGAAATGGAAAGATCACATTCCTGTCCAGATGTCCATAGTATAATGAGCAAAGCAAAGACGACAAAACACTTCCTTGAGGAATGCCTACACCTTGCAAATAAAACTTCTTATCTAACTGCAGAACATTGCGCTTCACATGTTGATTTAGATTGAAAAATAGCTCCTGCTTCTTCACAGACCTGCTACAGTCCTAAGCATTGAAAAAAAAAACTATCAGCTAAAACTAAAAAAACAAGAAAGGAATCAGAATCCATCAAGATGCTGAAGAAATTTTAAGCAACTACACAAATCTCCATCCCCTTCCCCATGATCAACCTAAACGAGACCTTCAAGGTAGCAGATATAAAGTCACTAAAAATCAAATTTTCCAGTAGTAAAATTGACAAACTAGTACCATCTCAATCCTATGTTCAATTATAGTGTTTTGAATTACTATTTTTTCTTCAGTTACAATTACTACTTCATTTGATATCAAGTAGTTTATTTTTCTGGGATGGCTTGGGGATGAATAAGTTCATGAATATACAAAGTACACAAACTACATAAACCAACAAAAATAATAATAATAATAAATAAATAGTGACATATTCAAAAGATATAAAATTAGTTTACAAAACAATGCCAGACACTTATTCCAGAATACCCCAAAATTACCTGATTGACAAGGACACTGTGCAATGATCGGTGTATGACAGAAGATTTAAATCTCGAGCTGGTATTTTGATCCACTAATACAGGCCTCTCATGAACCCACAAAGATTTCTTTGTGCAAAGAACTTCATAAGCATGTTTGAGAAAGTATTCATCTGTTCTTAGGACATCTTTCATTACACAAAGCAGCTTATCCTGGTCAACAGAATCAAAGGCTTTTGACACATCAGAAACAACAATAAATACATCAGGCATCATTGCTGATCCATTCTTCAAACCAATTACAAAAGGGCACAACTTTCTGT